TGTTGTTGTGGTTATGGTTGCTGTTGTTGTCGTTGTTGTTGCTGTTGTTGCTGTTGTTGTTGTATGCTCATTTCTGAAGAATACTTATTGTTGATCCCCCCACCAGTACATATTGTTTTTCTCAATCAACGTGTGCCCTTCCACGCTCGCACCCTGTTCTTTGACAATGAGAAAATCTTCCTGCTCAAACTGGGCCCCTGGCCCCCGGGTTACAACAACAACGGCTCCCGCCTGAGACTTCCTCACAATTTGGCCAGGACCCCCGCTCCCGCCCGAGACTTCCTCGCATTTTATTCAGGAATCGCGCTCTCGCTTGGGACTTCCTTACAATTCATTCAGGAATCGCTCTCTTGGCGCTCTGCAGTCGCGCTCTCGCTGGAGACTTGCTTGCAACTTACTGAAGAATGGCCCTGCGTCGGAATTTTCTGCAATTTGCCCAAGCGCCGCGCTCCCGACACCCAGGCACCCAGGAGTCGCGCCCGTTGTGGCCCCATGTGCATGCCCTTCGTGGCCCCGCTGTCGCCATTTGTGTCCGCCTCACTGTCCTACGTGGCCCAGTTGCTACCCTCAGTGGCCCCATAGTTGCCTTCTGTGGCCCCGCATTATCTGCATTTCGTGGCTCCCGCTCGTTCGCGCTCTTCGTGGCTCCATACACATTGCCTTCCTGTCCCCGCTGTCGCCCTTCGTGGCCTACTTCGTGCCCTTCGTGGCCCTGCTGTCGTTCTCTCTCGCTCTCGCTTTCGCTCGTCGTCGCCGTCGTCTTCGCCGTCGTCTTCGACGTCGTCGTCGTCGTCGTCATCGTCGTCGTCCTCGTCGTCGTCGTCGTCGTCGTGGTCGGTCCCCTGTCCGTCCCTCTTGGGGTCGGGTCGACGGTCCGCGGCCGCCCCGCCGATCAGCGCTGCAGCTGGCCAGACCGACGGTCCGCGGCCGCCCCGCCGCTTGCCGGGCCCCGGCCTGCAGGGAAGAAAGGTATACCCCCCAAAAGGGGTTCGATCGAAGACGAAGAGGGCGGGTATCGAGGGTTTGGGAAATACGCGTTATTGGACACTCTAGCATGAAAGGGCGAACAGTCTTAAAATTATTGTGGTTGAATTCTCATTCTTAAAGAATAGTTATTGTTGATCCCCCCCACCGGTGCACATTGATTTTGTTTCAATTGAAGTGCCCCCCCCGGGGCTCGCACCTGGATTTTTGTCCAGGAAAGTCTTCCTGCTCAAACTGGCCCCCTGGCCCCCGGGTTACAACACCAACGGCTCCCGCCTGAAACTTCCTCACAATTTAGCCAGGACCCCCGCTCCCGCCCGAGACTTCCTCGCATTTTATTCAAGAATCGCGCTCTCGCTTGGGACTTCCTTACGATTTATTCAGGAATCGCTCCTCCTGCGCTCTGGAGTCGCGCTCTCGCTGGAGACTTGCTTGCAATTTACTGAAGAATAGCGCCCTTGCGTTGGAATCTCTTGCAATTTACTCCAGCGCCGCGCTCCCGACACCCAAGCACCCAGGAGTCGCGCTCACGCTTAGGACTCCTTCACACATTACCTAGGAATCGCGATCTCGCTGCCCTTCGTGGCCCCGTTGCAGCCTTTCGTGGCCCCCTCGCTTTGTTTCGTGGCCCCGTTGCAGCCCTTCGTGGCCCCTCTCGCTTTGTTTCGTAGCCCCGTTGCAGCCCCTCGTGGCCTCCTCGTTGCCCTTCGTGGCCCCGTTGCAGCCCTTCGTGGCCCCCTCGCTTTGTTTCGTGGGCCCGTTGCAGCCCATCGTGGCCCCCTCGCTGCCCTGCGTGGCCCCGTTGCAGCCCTTCGTGGCCCCGTTGCAGCCTTTCGTGGCCCCGTTGCAGCCCTTCGTGGCCCCCTCGCTTTGTTTCGTGGCCCCATGTATGTATGCCCTTCGTGGCCCCCGCTCGTTCGCGCCCGTGGTGGCCCCATATGCATGCCCTTCGTGGCCCCGCTGTCGCCCTTCGTGGCCCCCTCGCTGCCCTTCGTGGCCCCGTTGCTGCCCTCAGTGGCCCCGTCCGTACCCTCCGTGGCCCAACATACGTATGCCCTTCGTGGCCCCCGCTCGTTCGCGCCCGTTGTGGCCCCATGTGCATGCCCTTCGTGGCCCCGCTGTCGCCGTTTGTGGCCCCCTCATTGTCCTACGTGGCCCAGGTGCTACCCTCAGTGGCCCCATCGTCGCCTTCTGTGGCCCCGCATTATCTGCACTTCGTGGCCCACGCTCGTTCACGCTCTTCGTGGCCCCATACGCATTCCGTTCGTGTCCCCGCTGTCGCCCTTCGTGGCCTACTTCGTGCCCTTCGTGGCCCTGCTGTCGTTCTCTCTCGCTCTCGCTTTCGCTCGTCGTCGCCGTCGTCTTCGCCGTCGTCTTCGACGTCGTCGTCGTCGTCGTCGTCATCGTCGTCGTCCTCGTCGTCGTCGTCGTCGTCGTCGTCGTCGTGGTCGGTCCCCTGTCCGTCCCTCTTGGGGTCGCGTCGGCGGTCCGCGGCCGCCCCGCCGATCAGCGCTGCCGCTGGCCAGGCTGACGGTCCGCGGCCGCCCCGCCGCTTGCCGGGCCCCGGCCTGCAGGGAAGAACGGTATACCCCCCAAAAGGGTTCGATCGAAGACGAAAAGGGCGGGTATCGAGGGTTTGGGGAATTCGCGTTATTCGACACTCGAGCAGATAAGGGCGAACAGTCTTAACATGTTTGTTGTTGTTGTTGAACATTATTACTTCTAAAGAATAATTATTGTTGGGGCCCCTGGTGCATGACCCCCCCGCCGCGCCTAGGCCGCAGCCTCATTTTCATCATTTTCGTGAGGAAGTCTCAGGCAAAACGGGGGAGTCCGGATCCGGTTGTGTTGTTACGATCGGTTTTTCCCTTGCAAAAAATAAGCTAAAGTGGACATTTCTTGTTCTAACATAACCAAACTTCAAGAATCCCTTGCAAAAAAATAAGGTAAAGTGGACATTCGCGCGCGCAAGACGAAATCCTTCCAAAACCTTAGTTTTCGTAGCGATTTTAACATAACAAACATCAAAAAACCAATGGTTTTTCAAAAAAAAATGTCAAAATTTCATCCCGCGCGCTCTTGCGGATTCGTAGGAAACCCAACACTTTTTAATCATTTCTGTCAAACGGGCTTTTGCGAGCAACTTTTTCGAACTTCTGCAACAACGGTTGCGCACCTGCCAGGGCCATCATCCCTGTCAAATAATACCATGCGGGACACATTCGTTTTTTCTTCGCGCGCGCACGCCGTCGTCGTCGGCCGCGGGGCCCTGAATAGTAGCCACGGTCGTCCGCATGCCACGAAGTGAAGTGTCCGAACGTCATAGGGCGGGAAGCTGGGTGTGGGTGGTGGCGAAGAGTCGTTTGGAAATTTGGTAGAGCTTGAACCGGCCCCCCCACAAAGTGGGGGTATTGCCCGCCTCCTATGAAAACCCTGGCACTGGTGAGAACGGTGTGTCCCCACGTGCTAGTAATAGTTGTTGTTGTTGTTGTTGTTGTTGTTGTTGTTGTTGTTGTTGTTGTGATTGTTGTTGTTGTTGCTGATGTTGCTGTTGCTGTTGCTGTTGTTGTTGTTGTTGTTGTTGTTGTTGTTGTTGTTGTTGTTGTTGTTGTTGAGTATCACTTTCTGAACAATTATTATTGTTGGACCCCTTAAAGGCGTCGTGGCGCTTTCGCCCAGGCGCTGGCTGCGTTTCCATTGAACATGAGGCTCACATGCTCGAGCGGTTTGGGGGGCGCCAAAACCGGCCCCCCAACAACAACAACGCTCCTGTTCGAGACTTCCTCTTTTTTACTCAGGGCCGGTGCTCTTGCTCGCCGCCGAAAGCAGCCGTGTCAACAAAACCAGCGCTCCCGCTCGAGACTTCCTCCCGCTTTACCTTGGACAGGCGCGCTACTCTTTCTCTCATGGGCACTGCCCTCCTGCAACAACAACGCTCCCGCTCGAGACGTCTGCCCTTTTTTACTCAAGGCGGTGCTCTTGCTCGCCGCCAACAGCCGCCGTCTCGACAAAACCAGCGCTCCCGCCCGTTTTTTCGTTACCACCGTACTGTGCTGTAGGAGGGCCTGGGCAGACAGCAGTTCTACCTATGCGTCGTCTTCTCGTGCGCCGAGGCATTCCCGTGCTTGAGAGTCGGCGGCGAGCCCAGCGGGGGGAGCGAGAAGGGCCGGTCCCTGTCGGTAGGCTCGGGGGCCTCCCAGCCTCCTGAGAAGTTTTCGAGGCCTCCACCGGAGACACAGGAACATCCCCTTCAGGCGCGAGGGTTTCTGAGAAGTCCCGTCGCCTTGTGAGAAGGCCTCCTCCTTCTCCCTTCCCCCCTGGCTCGCCGCCGAGAGATGGAATGGGAGGGGGAGGGGCGTGGAGGGAGGGGGAATTGAGTGGATGGGATGGAGGGATGGATGGGGTGCCAGACGCAAGCCCTCGGCGATCAGAACCGGACCCCCCCTCCCAACCACCCATTGTCGGACGGGGCTAGGACGATGATCAATCCGTTACGGAGCGTTCCGGAACGCTCTCAGAGCGTGCTGGAACGCTCTAAGAAGGCCGCGGCGCCCGAGACATCCTCCAGAGCCGCGCGATCTCATAGATTTGCGATTTATCCTCACTTGGATGCGTCCTCGTCCTGGCTTCGTCTTACACTGCCGGGCCCCGGCGCCGAACGACGGCCTCTCCCAGGGGGAGGTGTTGCGCTGGCCAGGGGGCCCCTCCAGCCTGCGCCGCTCGGGACCCCTGGGCGGGGGAGGGGCATGAGGGGATGAGTCGGCCACGCGTAGGAGTGACCTTTCGCCGGCGCGACCTTCGGTGCGGGCCCACTGGGGCCCCCCGATCGCTGAATGCGATGCGATGGCACCGGCTTGCGCGCCTAGCGCTGTGCCCAAAGGGCCCCCCCTCGGGCCGCGCACCAGAGGTCACTCTTGCCCAGGGTCGCTCTGGCGTGCAGCCGAGTGGGGGGAGGGGGAGGGGCGGGATGGGCGAGGGGCGCACAGGGGCGGGACGCGCGCAGAGCAGCTCGCGAAAGGACAGCAGGGAGCGCGCCAGATCGCTGCAGGCCGGGCTTGAGGAGCTCACGGCGGCGCCTCCTCTCCGCCGCCGCCCTCTTCATCCCCCCTCCTCTCGTCTCCCCCGTCTTGCCCCTTCCTGGAAAGACATCTCTCCCTGGATTTCTCTAGGAGGGGGAGGGGGGAGAGGCGGGCAGATCCTGTCCCCCTCTCCCCCTTCTTCCCTCGTCACGCCCCGTCCTCCCTCTTCTGCTCTCTCTCTCTCTCTCTCTCTCTCTCCCCCTCTTGCTGTCACCCTCTCCGCTTTCCGCCTGCCACTCCCTCGTAACCCGGTTGCCTTCCCCTCGGGCCTGTCGCTACCGCGATTCTGCTGCTGCTGCTTCTGCTGCTGCTTACGCGGGCAGGTGCAACAAGATCAGATTTGCTTCTGCGTGGTTGTTGCAGCCATGTCCATGATGTGAGTGCGTTTGCCGTGAGTCCAGGTCGGCTCTGATATGAGTCTCAATATGTGATTGGTCTGGTCCATTGTATATCCAGCTTTTTATGGGCCAATGTACCGCGCGGCAGTTCCGAGCTGTACCATCGCAAGGTAGAGCGGCACGGTACATGAATTGAAAAGGAGAGTTTTTGGTAGCGTTTGACCTCTGAGGCGTAATGGTGCTTCGCTGTCTATTCAAGGTAACAGCCAGTCCCTGTGACAAAGTTATTGGTGGGTGCGCGTGTATTATGAGCTCGCTCAGGGTGGAGAGGTTCGCCTGAACCTGGGCGTGTGACATGTTTTTCGAACTTTCGCGAACTTTGGGCTGGAAGCAATTCCACGGGTGAGGTCCAACTTTGAGAAGCAGGCCTGTCCTCGACGTCGTGGGGGGTGTTGGTCCTGGGTGTTGCCCAGCTGTAATTCTCAGACCATCGTCTTCGCACTCTGTTTACTCCGGATTTCACAGAAAGCTGGGTGATCTGAATTGGGAGGAGGTCTGATTTGAGTTGTCTTGGAGGGTCCCGGTGGGGTCTGGGCAAAAGGCCGCCCTTTCATGGCTGGTCTGGGGGGCGTCTGAAACTGCTTGTCTGGGAGGGTTGTGACTTCTCTCCTGTTGCGACCAAATTTTCAACATCGACAGGGTGTGGATCTTTGGCTCAGCGTCTCGCGAAGCCGCTCTGGTTCACCACTCTTCGGCGCGGCACCCAGGCCACTTCCCATTTCCCGGGCGTCGACCTTCCGAGCCCTTCCCATCCTCCCGCCGAGCGGAGCGGCAAACTGTCATCTCCCAGAGCATGGCGTGTCGCCGGGGCTGCCGCCTCGACACGCGAAGCAAAAGCTCCTGACCGCAGCAGGCCCCCCCCGCCGCCCACATCTTGCCACCCCTTCGGTAGCCACTCGTGGGAGCCTCGCATGCCCTCGTAGCTCCCTCTTCCGTGCGCACTGGCGTCGGCTGGCGCCTTCTAATCGGTGCGATGGCGCCGTCTCAGCGGCGACAGGCGTCGATCCAGCGTCGATCCAGCGTCGATCAGCGTCGGCCGGCGTCGCCCAGCGTCGGTTCGCACCGGCCGGCAAGATGGTGTGGGCGGCTCCCGCGAGCTGCTGCCGCACACCCCCTGCGAGAGCATCGGCCCTGCCGTCGGAGCGGGCGACGCCGGCCCCGGGCGCCCCGGCACGCAGCCGCGCGAGGAGGCGCGGGGCCAGGCGGAGGAGCTCGCCCTCCAGGCGGCGGCCAGGGCGGCGTCCAGCACCAGGCTGGAGGCGGGAAGCGCGCGCGCGCGGTGTGGTGGCCAGGTGACCGCCGAGAAACGGCTCGGGACGGAACAAAATCAGAGCCCCGAATCATCAGGGGTAACTCGGGTCAGGGATAACTCGGGTTCGTTTTTTCGGGAATCCAAACCCGAGTTACCCCGGACCAGAGTTACCCCGGATAACTCGGGCGTCCAGAGCCCCGAATCATCAGGGGTAACTCGGGTCAGGGATAACTCGGGATCCTTTTTCGGGAATCCAAACCCGAGTTACCCCGGACCCGAGTTACCTCGGATAACTCGGGCGCCCAACAAAAGGGCCCCGGGGAAGGGGTCCGACCTTCCAGAGACCCCGTATAGGGAGAAAATCTGGACCTCGGTGCTCTGGGACCATGTTCTTTCTTGGCTGCCCCCTTTCTGGGCCCCGGGAGGCCTCAGGAGGCTTCCCGAGGCCAGAGGCCTGGAGGGGTCCGCACCCGAGCGTCTTCATTCTCCGTCCTTCTTCCGGCTGGAGGTCAGCGGCAGTTGTCAGGCAGCGGCAGCTGTTGGGCGTCGCGTAGTGAGGGGATAACTGGGGGGCAGCGATGGCTGCAGAAGAGGAGCCCTTTCGGACTCTGCAGGGGGTCTGTAGGGCTCGAGAAATTTGATTTTCCCCCCCCCCCCCCCCACCAATTTATCGCCCCCCATTCAGCGACGCCCACGCCCGAGCGTCTTCATTCTCTTGCCTGCTCCTGGCGGAAGGTCAGCGGCAATTGGCGGAAGCAAAGCACGCCCCCACAAGAGATGCTTGTTTGTTTGATTGGAGTCAGAGTTCCTGGAATGGGCGATGAGTTCCGGCCACCTTCGAATGTAAACACAGAAGCCAATTGGTGTCGCCTGCGGTGGGAGCCCATGGTGGCGCCGAGCATCGCCTCTGGAAGAGCGGGAGGTTAGCCAAGGTCGGTCTGCGCTATCAAACGTCGTTGGCATCGAACGTTATAGTATGTATGTTGGCTGCGATGGGGCACGAGGATGCGACGGTTGCCCTCTTCGATTTGACGGCTGCCATCCCATCCATCGCGAGGCAGCACATTCGAGATGTCTAAGTAGTTCGGTCACAAGATATCGTGTTAGCTCTGGCTTTGTGCGTCTCTATGCCACGATTCCTCTAGAGGCTGGCGTCTGTCAAGGTCGCCCTCTCTCTCACCTACTGTGTGCTCGCTCTTCGGACAGCTTCGCGTTTTTTTTTCCGCTGCGTCGCGCCGCGGCGACGGCGAGAAATGTTGCCGACCCGACGGCGTTGTTGCTGCGGTCTTGGCCTAAAATCGACCTTCAGTTTTTCCGAGATGGCGGCCAGTGGAAGTCGTCATGGGGGCCTTTGGGGAGGCCGCGGGAGGCCTCCCGAGGCTCAAGATTGGAAAGATTGCCAAGAAACCTCTGCCCCTTCAGGGCAACGGCACCCTTCCCTGGGGCAAGCCGCTTGCCAATACCTTTAGACATCCTCCTGCATCAGCGATGGCCTGCTGCTGTCAAAGCCATGGCGTCGGTGTCGCGGATTCGGAGCTTGGCTTGCAGAGTCCTGGCTGTCCCCATTCCCTCCTCCCTCCCCGCCCTAGATGATCCCCTCTGGCGGAGAAGAAGTCTGTGGAGGTCTTCGGAGGTCCCTGGAGGCCTCCGACCTCTCCTACATGTCCGACGAGGTGTTTGTTCTGTCTATCGGTGGCCCCAGGGCTCCCGACCGCTCCCCCGCGAGGTGGTCGTTCGTCCCGGCTTCGTTTTTACGTGGCCCCGGGGCCCGACAACGGTCTCCCGGAGGCAGCAGCTCCTCCTCCTCCTCCTCCTCCTCCTCCTCCTCCTCCTCCTCCTCCTCACCTTCCCTCCCCCCTCCCTACCTCCCCGCCCCCCCTCTCCTCCTACTCCTCCTCCTCATCCTGCTCCTCCTCTTCTTCTTTTTCCTCCTCCTCCTCCTCCTCCTCCTCCATCCTCACATGCACGACTGGGGGCCACGCTGGGCCTCCGATTTCGGGGGCCCGGCATCCCTCACTGGGCGTGAGAAGAATCAATAGGAAGTACATGCGCAGAGCCCTTACAGACCAGCGTTAGGATGCAACTCCTGAGAGGTTGAATTCACCATCGGCGCTGCTATATCACTTGCCGAACACTGGCCTAATTTGAATCCCGATGCTGAGTTCTGCTTAATCCCGCTCAATCCGTTTTCATAAGGCTTCATCCCAGTCATTGTCCGTCTTAGTCCGGCTTAGTGGCCCTTCCATCTTGGTTTCTAGGTTTCTAGTCTCTAGTCCTTATCACGACAGCCTCCCAGGAGTCGTCTCCTAACAAGCTGTGCAGATATGTCCGCGGGAGGGCCTCCCAAACGAGGTCCGAGTGGATGGGGTCGGCGAATCGCCTTGCGTCGCCGATGCATCGATGATGCGGCTCGATGTGGAGCCAACTTCTCTCCACGCCGACGTCGCCGATGCATCGCCGACGTCGCCGATGCATCACCGATGCATCGCTGGTGCATCGCCGATGCATCGCCGAAGCATCGGCCATGTGGCGCGAGCGGCCGACCCCATCTACGGTCGGTTCGTGCCTTGCCGACGCGGCTGCGACCTCAGCGCCGCCCTTCGAAGACGAACGCCGCCCGTGGCCCAGATTCGGCCAGCAGGTAGCGATCTGATGATTCCCGAGCCGCTGATCGTTCAGGGGTGAGCGCTTCACGCTGTGTCAGAAACCGACGCTGGGGTCCTCGCGACAAGAGCCCGCCGTACTCGGGCTCCATGTGGGAGGCCTCCAGCTCTGCCAGGAGGGAAGACAACACACAGACGCAGTTCATCGTCGATTCCCCAGAAAATATGGGGAAATATGGGAAGGGGGGGGGGAAGACGAGATCCCAGAAAATACGGGGAAAACATGGGGAATCCTGTCATCTGTGTCTATTTGTCTGTGGAGGAGGAGGAGGAGGGGGAGGAGGAGGAGGAGGAGGAGGAGGAGGAGGAGGAGGAGGAGGAGGCCTGGCGCAGGCCCTGGTGGCCGAGCAGCGCAGGGCCCTGGCGGACGCGCCCTCCGGCTCCGACGTGGCGGACCTCCAGCTCGAGCTCAAGGCCGCCCGGGTCCAGGCCTCGCCGGTCTTCCGCCCTCCTTTTTGGGTGGGCCAGGCTCAAACCCAGACATGATGGCGTCGTAAAAAAATCAGGACGGGCGGTTTTTGGATATTTTCGCCCTCTAGAGGTCCTCGCCGGGCCTCGGGACCGTCAAAAAACGACTCAGGACGAAAAACCGGTCCCGGGGAAAGGGTCGGGACTTGCGGGGACGCCGTCCTGAAAAAATCAGGACGTCGCATGTCTGGGAATCGGGCCGAACGAAAGGGGGGGGCTTGGGAAAGGGGGGCTTACGGAATCTGCTGCATGCAGCTGGTTGCAGCGCCACCGAGGGTCCCATTCCTCGATGCATGGCCGCCTTTGGCGCCGGAAGGCGCCGGGAGAATCAGCTACGTGAGCTGATTCTCAACCCAATCCCCTTTGCAATCCCCTCCTTTCGCCCGGCCCGATTTTTGGGTTGGCCAGACTCAAAAGGTCCTAGCTTGTAGCGCTCTGGATGAAGAGGTACAGTATGTGGCGACGGAGACAGCAAGACACCGACTTGGGCACCGGGCCTTCATTGGCCAGACGGCCATCGCGGAACGTGAAGTGCAACGGGTGTGGAGGAAAGTTGTGGGGCCCGTGAGGGCGCAGAGTAGCCGAGCCGACAGCCGATGGGGAGGGGTGCCGACGACTGGGAGCTCACCTTCAGCCCGCGCGTGCCGTGGCACCGGCACCCGCCGAGGAAATGTAGCTAGTCAAATTTGCCGCTGGTAAAGAACAACAACAGGACGTAACGAGGCCATAAACATAACATTCTGCCCCTCCTCCTCCTCCTCCTCCTCCTCCTCCTCCTCCTCCTCCTCCTCGTCCTCGAGGGCCAGATGTTTGCGGATCTTTTCGCTGGCTCTCGGCGGTGTTCCGGCCTCGGCCTGTCTTCCAGCTGCCGTGCCCCTCGGGCAGCGTGCTGTGGGCTCGTGGATCGCCCTGGAGGGCCGCTGGGGAGCCGAGTGATGGCCCGAAGGCCAGGGGGGGCCAGGGGGGATAGGCTGAAGTCGGGCCCGTCCCTCTACAGGAGGAATCTTCAAGAATAGTAAAACAATAGTCTGGGGATTATTTTTTGAATATTTTCTGACCATTTGGGAGTGTTTTTTTTTTTTTTTTATTTGTCGTCGAACATCCCCCCGTAGGGGGTCACGCCCGACTTAAGGATAGGCTCAGGGCGGGATGCATGGACCCGCAGTCGCCCGTTCATCGACGGCAGGTGCCTGATAGCCCACCCCATCCTGGATCGTGCAGATTCGCCATCGGGAGCCCATCACCGATCTAGCGACGATGCGTCGCCGATTCAAGCTCGATGTTCCCCTCCCCTGAGCCAGTCCTCCCTACCATCGCCGTCCCTCGTGGATGACAGAGGAGGAGGACCGATCGAGCCCGCGCCCTGGGGCATAAACTAGTGTGATTCCCAGGTGAGGGTTTCTGTCGCCGGGGTGCCAGGCACGCCGGTGCCAGGTGGGTCCGACTTTGGTGACAACTGTCAGGGGGGGAATCTTTGGGTCCTAGCTGGGCTTTTTCGGGTTTGTGGGAAGGTGGGCACCCCACCAAGTGAGCACCGTTTTGATCAGCTCATCCAAGTCGCTCAGGGACTGCCCGGGGTAGGCGCACCTATTTCTGCCATCGTTGATGTTGTCAGTCCTGGTGCTCGACTTGGCTTGTAGCTCTCATCTGCTCCAATCCTCCTCGGTGACTTTTTAAGGGACCCCAGGGCACCATCACAAAACGATCCGGAATTAGACACCAGCATGTGGTAGGAGTTGAATGCTCTGGGGCCCATGCATCAGAGAAAATATCCGCCAGAGGTCAGACTCCGTCCTCACTGTCCTCCGTCCTCTTTGTCGACCTCACTGTTTATCCGTCCTCCTCTCCTGCCCCCCCACTTCTAGGGTCACGATAGGGCCTGCAATCTTCTGGTTAAATATGGGGAAGTCCCGCATTGTAAAAGCGCTCTTCACGCTGGGTGCAGAGTCTGCAGGGGTTTGCACCCCAAGATCGATTCTATAGGCTTACGCCACATCCGCCGACCCCTCTATATAAACTATTGCGCCTCCAGGACTGCATTCCACGAGCCACCTCTCGGGCAGAATTCCGAAGCTGGGGCGAGGAAGTGCGTCAAGTTCAGGGTAGTGTGTGGCACGCTCTGGGATGTCCGTTGGGATCTCGTGGCCAGGATTCTCGCGGGCCTCTTCGAGGCACTTTTGAAGGGTCTTGGGGGCCGTTTTAGGTTTCTTTTGGGCCTCTTGGGGGCTCCTTGGGGCCTCTTGGGTGCCTCATGGGGGCCCCTTGGGGCCGCTTGGGGGCCTCTTGGGTCCTCCACAGAGCTTCGTTGGGCGGAGCGCTGGAATTCGCGGTTCGTGGTCCCTCTCTTGGGCCCTTCTTGGGCCGTTTTGGAGCTCTTTTGGGCCGTCTAGGGCGCCTCGTGGGCCACGTTGGAGTTGTTTTGGGTTGTCTTTGGGGCCTCCTGGGAGCCTCGTGGGCCGTCTTGGGGTGGTCCTGGGGGCCTCGTGGGGGCCTCGTGGACAGTTTCCAGCGCCGTGAAGGCTAACAAGTTGGATATGCTGAATTTCAAGATTTTGGTTTCTTGGGGGCTTCTTGGGAAGCCTCTTAGATGCTTCGTGGGGTGTCTTGGCCGCCTCTTGGGCCGTTTTGAGTTCATCTTGGGCGTTTTGGAACGATCTTTCGGCGACTTTGGGTTCTCGTGGACCGTCTTGGTGGTTTTTTGGGAGGCGTCAAGTGCTGTCGTGCTTTCCGGGGCCACCCCGGGGGCCGGGGGGGGGGTCAAAATCCTGGTTTGGGGTCCCTGGGGGGCGATTATGGGGGGGGAACAATCTCACACGCCTGGAGACCCACAAGGGGTCGGCGGATCGATTGTATTTCGGTGTAGCGCGGTTGTCGGGGTGAGGATTCTGCGAGCAAAGAGGTACATACCCTCTCAAGAGCCGCCCACCTTGTCCCTGTCTGGGTCCTCTGCCATCCGGCATGCCGTTGCGGCTTTGAGGGTCGAGGAAGACGAAGCCCCCTTGGCTCATGGCAGAGGTCCAGGGGACGGCTCGAGCCCAGACTGATTCACAGCGCGCTTCTGTTCCAAGGATTGCAGAAAAAACATAGTTTTTTCTGCAATCCAGGGGTTGTTTTTTGCAATCCTTCGTTTTTTTTTGCAATCCTTCGTTTTTTTTGCAATCCTTCGTTCTCCTGCCATCTTCCCTTCCCTCCTGTGTAAAAAACAACGGTGGGGCAGCTTCTCCTCGGCCACGGCGGGCCTCCTCGTCCGTGCGGCGCCGAGCTGCTGCAACCCCGGCTCCCCTGCGCCGGCGCGGGGGGCAGAGCCTCGGCCGTGGCAGCGCGGCTCCTCCTCGAGGAGCCTCTCGCGTGCCCGCGCTGCACCTCCTCGATCCTCCTCCTCATCCTCCTCCTCCTCCTCCTCCTCCTCGATCCTCGATCCTCGATCCTCCTCCTCCTCCTCCTCCTCCTCCTCCTCCTCCTCCTCTTCCTCCTCCTCCTCCTCCTCCTCCTCCTCCTCCTCTGACGTGCTCGCGGCACCCGTGTTTCCCACAGGTGCCGTCTGTTTGGAGTTGTGCGGAGTCGCCGTTGAGGCCGACCAGAACCTTCCCCTTTGCCTTCCTCGAGCGCTGTTGCCCGTGTCGCCGCCGCCTGCTTGCTGTCCGCATCGTTTTTCACGATGACGTTTGTTTTCTCATGTCCTCCGATCAGCGAGTGCTCCAGGGGGTTCTGATACAGAGTAGAAGGCCTTATCACAAGGGTAATCGCGACTTTCGAGGCGCGGGGCCTCTGGAGCAACTTTTGGGGCATTCCATGGAAGCCAGGCAGGGTGGGGAGGCCCCCCCGCATCTCGGGGACGCGCAGCGTGTCTGGCGCAACCCAGGGCGCAGCCTGTGGCGCAACCCGAGGTTTGGAGAGCGAGAGTGCGGGAATCGCAGTTTGGGGGCAGGAGGGGCGGTATCTCGTGCAACCTGTGGCGCAACCTGTGCCCCCCCCCCCCCTGTAGATTGGAGGGGGCTGGCAAAGGTGCAGATGTCGCTACCCTGGCCTCGGACCCCCTTTTGCGAGCGCGGGGCAGGCCAGCTTCTGGCAGCGAGCAAAGTGGCCGCGTCGGCCACGATCGAGCTTTTCGTATCTTGGCGACGTCGTTGCAAGTTGCGCCTTGATTTCATGTTTCGCTTGAGTTCTTGTTTTTTTTCGGCTGTTTGGACATCGGAAACGACTTTGCCTCGGTTTCGCCTTTTTGGGTCTCCGGGGAGGCCCTGGTCGCCACCGCTTGGTTCGCCTGGAGATTCTGGTCAGAACGCACCCTGGGAGAGGTCTTGGGAGTAGCGGTATCGGTAGCTTTCTATGATTTTCCCAGTAGGAAGTAGATGGGGTGGGACAAACGCAATCTCGTTTGGCCCAGCTCATGGCGCCGTTGGTTGCGCAATTTCAGGGCAGGGAAGTTAGGCAGAGAGGGGACATCGTCCTTCGGGGAGGCGCGGGGTGCCTGGCGCAACGGATGACGCAGCCTGAGCATGATAGTCGTTGAAATTCGACGTGGCGCGGGGTGCCTGTCGCAGCCTGTGGCGCCGCCTTCGGAAGATGGACCGCTCGGGGGCAGTGCGTGCCAGTCGGGCCTAGGGTGCCTGCGTAATATATGGCACGTTCTATGGCAACCTCCTGTGTAAGGCGGCAAGGCGGGGAAGCCGCGATTCGGCGATCGTGCGGGGGGTCGGGCGCAGCTTGCGGCGCAACCCATGGCACATGTTGTTTCGGGCTTCCTGGCGGGGTGAGTAGATGTGTTTATGTGCCCGTCATTGTTTGCTTTCGTCTTCTTGTTGCAGTTCCTCATCCTCGCCTTATGGTATCGAAGACGCCTGGGGCCAGTCACAGACATCCCCTGCCTTTGGAAACGCCCGTATCGTGACATTTCGAGCGAATGTGCGGCCACGCGAATGGATTGCGCGTTCCCCAGCCATCGGGGACGCCACTGGGGGGACAGTTGGGTCCTGGTAGGAAGCCATTGGGCAGTGTGTGCCCCCACCTTTTTTTGTTTGCTGTTTTCCCCGAGCCGTCTTGGCTCTTTGGAGTGTCCATGTGGCCCTCTTCGGCCCTCTGGGGCTGTCCTGGGGCTGGTAGGTGCCTGCTCGGGCCGTCTCGGCGGCCTCGCGGTATCCCTGTGTGCCATGTTGGGGGTCCTTTGAGGCCTCAGCCTTGGGCTGTTTTCAGGCTCGTCGACATCTGAAGCCAAAGACATTAGACAAGCTATGGTAGGTCTCGCAATGTTTTGGCACTGCTCCCAATTCCAGAGCCTCTTGGAGCCCTCATCGAGCGCATTTCGAAATCGAACTGGAAAGATTTGGAATTCTAGTTTGAAGGAAGTCTTGGGCGGGAGCGCCATTACGACATCGAACCCACAAATTGTTGAAATCTTTCGGAATTGTCTGCGTTTCTTGGAAGAAATCTCAAGCGAAACCGTCGTTTCGAAATGCCCAGCTTGTCGTGGGCGAAGCACATGTCCGTACCCGCGGCCCCGCGGGCCGGGCCCCTGGGCCGCGACCCTGCGGATCCAGGGCGTTTGCGTCGCGGATGCCCCGCGCGGAAAGCATCCGTGCGACCGCACATCCGCGGGTCGCGCCCAGGAATCCAGCCAGCGAGGGCGCGGCTACATTTTTTGGGGCGAAGTTGCTCTCATGACGGGGTTGGCTCAGGAGGCGTTCCAGGAGGTCCAGAGCATCCAGCGGCCCTTGCTTCTGCAGCCCCTGGGAAACGTGGGGAACTCAGGGATCTTCTGGAACCCTTGGCGATCGTCAAGCGCATCCTCATCCTGACCTCCCGCTCCTCTGAGACACGTTCGCCGCTCGTGAGCTTGGGCCGCCTTTGGGGTCGCCTGGCCCCCGGGGGCCCACGTGACCCCCCGCCGCCCGCGGGTGGCCGCGCCCGCGGCCTTCTGGGCGCCGCGCAGGTCTCGGAGCTGGAGCTGGAGCTGACCAGGGAGCGCGCCGGCAGGCGCCGCGCGCGCCCCTGCTCCGCCCCGCCGCCGCCGCCCGCGCCGCCGCCCGCGCCGCGTGGCGCTCCCGGCGCGGCAGTCGGCACGAGCGGCGGACGCATTCGTGCAGCAGGAGGAGGATCAGGAGGATCAGGAGGAGGAGGAGGAGGAGGAGGAGGAGGAGGAGGATCAGGAGGAGGAGAAGGAGGAGGAGGAGGATCAGAGGATGGAGGAGGAGAAGGAGGAGGAGGAGGAGGAGGAGGATGAGGAGGAGGAGGAGGAGGAGGAGGAGGAGGAGGAGCAGCAGGGACGCGCATGTAATCGGGCCGAGCGAAAGGGGGGGGGTAGGGAAAGGGGGGTTACGAAATCTGCTGCATGCAGCTGGTTTCGGCCCCGCCGCTGGGCCCATTTTTCGATACATGGGCACCTCCCGGCGCCGCGAGGCGCTGGGAAAATCAGCTACGTGAGCTGATTCTCTACCCTACCCTTTGCTATCCCCCCCTTTCGTTCCCCCCGGATCAAGAACCGGAGTGTTTCTCGTCAGGGCACCGTGGGTTTCTTCGCTCCGCGCGCTGCGCGGCGGCCTCCTCTGCCGCTGAAGGAGCTGCTGCGCTCAGGGTGCTTTGGGTTTCCCCCGCCCTCACCGCGCGCTTGTGGGTTTTCAGGGTTGGGTTTCGCGCGAGCGATTCAGACGGCCGCGTCCGCACTGCATCCGCGATAAAGCGCCTCGGATCTACGTGGTCGGCCCAGGGGCCCGCCCCGCGGATGCGGATATGTTTTTCGCCCACGGGCACTTTGAGTGAGGAGGGCAAACGTCTCGTCGTCCTGCTGCTGCTGTGCATGCTCTGGGACGTAAAGTTCCGCCGCGGCGGCCCACTGCGGAGGCGTGGAGGAGGCAAGCGCCCAACTTCCATCCCCCACCTCCTCCTCCTCCTCCTCCTCCTCCTCCTCCTCCTCCTCCTCCTCCCCGACACTGTGCAGCAGGAAGAGGGGGAACCCGGCAAGCATCCCGGGGGAGGCCGCCAGCCTCTGATGCTGCTCCTCCTCCCTCCCATCCTCCCCCGCCCTCCTCTTCGCTTCCGCCGCTTGCAGGAGCCTTCGACACAGCGTGCTTGACTCCCCCCCCTCTCCTCCCCCCCCTCTCAAAGCGGGGCCCGCCCTCAGACCCGGGCGGCCATGAGAAGATCCATGCGGCATGCCTGCTCAGGAGATGTTCTCTTCCTGGGCCGAGGAAGTCCCGTCTCACAGCCCCGTGGCTGGTCACTGCTGCCGTGGGCAGGCGGGCCCCCCCCTGAGTGGGTGACAGGCGGGCACCACCTTTGGGGGATGCGCAACACCCTGAGAGGGAGCGCTGAGTGAACCGAGAGCAGAAGTGCGAAACGTGCCTCGGCAAATTGGAAGCCCCACCCGTCCTGGACTTTGCCTGTGAGCTTGTGTAGGCGGTGGCTTCCACTGGTTACCCTCTGCCTCTGAGCAGCTCCCAGGCGCACCCTGGCCCGCAGGTCGTTCGCGGAGCGTCCCGCGTGCATGCCGTGCCGTGGGGTGGTGTTGGCGGCGCCCACCAGGAGGTGGCGCGAGGGAGGTGGTCTTCCATAATCGAGGAGCAGAAAGTAACATGAACATAGACTTTCGGAGGTCCGCGCTGATTTCTAGGATCGGCGCTGGACCCCCCTGCCTGGCGCGCGGAGCGCGCCAGGGGCGGCGCCGGGGGCGACGCCAGGGCGCTCCAGCGCCGATCTAGGAAATCCACGCGGACCTCTTAGAGTTTACGTTTATGTTATTGCTGGTTCCTCTCGAGCGGCTGGGGGGATGCCTCCTATAGAAGGCAGGCGGCCTCTTGGAGCCCCCCCCGACCTCCCGGAGTCCCAGAGTCCGCCCAGCACTTTGAGGAGGGCCCCGCCTTCTGGGAATCCCCCCTCGCCGCCGTAGAAGCCCTCCTCTCAGAGTGGGAAAAACACACACAGACACAAATAAGCGTCGATTCCAAGGAAACCACGGGACAATACCGGAAGTGGGAGGGGAAGACGAAGCTCCAGACATTTTATATTGTAAATGAGAAGGGGTCCTGGAGGATTTGAACCCACTCATGGGTGTGTGTGTGTGTGTGTGCCCCTGGGCCCCTTCACCTCCCCCCCTCCCCTCGCGCCCCCCCCTTTGCGTGGGGTGGCGGGCCCGCGGCCGCCCCCCGGCCCAGGGACGGCGACAGGCTCGCCCTGGACGCCCGCGCGGAGGGGCTGAGCGAGCAGCTGCTGGCGCAGCAGCGGCAGCTGGAGGAGGTGCCGCGGCTGCAGGAGGCGCCGCGGCGGAGGGGGGCGGCCAGGGGGCCCGTCCTCCTGCCCCTCCCCCTGCCCCTGCCCCTTCTCCTCCTCCTCCTCCTCCTCCTCCTCCTCCTTCTCCTCCTCCTCCTCCTCCTCCTCCTCCTCCTCCTCTTCTCCCTCCTCCCCTCCTCCTCCCTCCTCCCTCCTCCTTCTCCTCCTCCTCCTCTCCTTCCCACAACTCAATATGAATACTACTCTCCCTCTTCCCCTGATAACGGTTTGAAAGCGGCCGACCCCCCCCCCCGCGTATTTTTTTTACACACAGGTTTCCCCTGAGCTGGGTTTTTTTCGCTTGCATTTTTGTTTTAAATGCTGCTCTCGCTGAGGTGCCGGCCTCATGTTCGGGCCCCGCTCGTTCGGAATCGTGTTCCCGCTGCAGCGCTGGCCTCATTTCCGTGCTTCCGCTCGTTCCGACTCGTGCTCCCGCTGCAGCGTTGGCCTCATTTCCGCGCTTCCGCTCGTTTCGACTCGTGCTCCCGCTGCAGCGCTGGCGTCATTTCCCGTGCAATGCCACGGCATGCAATGCAATGCTAGGTTGATGCTGCGCTTTGCGGTGCTCTTCTACGCCATGCCATGCCGTGCTCTACAATGCATCGCGTACCCTTTCGGGATCATTGCCCTGCTCGACATCCGACTGAGCGAGTAGAGAGGGGCTCTGCGCCATGGTAAGGGATGGGAGGGAGGGGTAGGATGTCAGATATGACGCGAGCGCACCTAGCTTGTCCACTCCCCCTCCCCCTCCTCCCCCTCCTCCTTTTCCTCTTCCTCCTCCTCCTCCTGCTCCTGCGTCAACATCCTGGACGCCATCATGAAGGGGCCAGCCTGTTGTCCGCACGTACGGCGCGATCATCTCAACCTTTGGAAGCAGTTTTGGCACGTGGTCCAGGACCAAGGCGGGATGGCCGATGACCTGTGCATCTCTGGGGTACGGTCTCATCAATCAGAGCCGTTCGCCACGAGTCGGCTTGACAAGGTAGGCAACGACTAGGCCGTCGTCGTGGCCAAGAGAGGGCTACGATACCATGACACCCCGGAGGAGGCAGTCAAGCAGCACGGCGACATGCTGAACAAGCTCCGACAGGTGGCAGCAGGGCTCGGCAACTCCCAGAGCACCGGCGGCGAGACCATGTCCGACAGGGTCCAGACGGTCGGCCGCAAGCCGATGGGCTCGAGAGGCGCGCAGCAAATGAGATGCCCAGCTCGAGTCCAGGATAACATTTTGAATCCCGACATTGCGCTCGGCGCCGCTCCGCCTGCCCCCGTCAGCTGTAAGCCAGGCTTGAAGTGCGCCAGGTGTCCCAGGTTTGCCAGGTCCTGGGCGAGGAGAAGACGCACGCGTGCCGAGCCGTGCAGCGTGCAGCCGTGCCGTGCCGCTCCGGCCATGCCGCGTTCGGAGGCCTCCCCAGGACGTGGTCACAGGAGAACCTTGGGTGGAATCCCCACGGCCATTCTCGAGCAAGCGGTTCGTAGGATCCTCCCCAGGACCCCGCTCCTCACTGCTCGTCCTCGAATCCCCCTCCTGGCCGCCTCGCACCCCTCCGGGCACCAGGACTAGACACACTGAACGACGCGAGTGAGGAATTCGTCAGAGTGGTGCGCCCGCGAGTCTCGTTCGCCCACGTCCTTGAGCCTCTTCCCGGGCCTGCGGAGGCCCTGAGAGGAGCGGCGGAGCTTGGCTCGAAGAAGCGCCCCCCCCCCCCCCCCTTTTGGCAGGAGCCACGCGGTCGTTCCTGGGCCCCGATACCATCTGCGGGTCCTGTCCCTCGCGAGTCCGCCCGAGGTCACCGCCTGCATATCGCCAGTGGCATCGTTGGCTGCGCTCGTTGTGGCGCGTGCTTGGCTGGCGGGGCCCGCTCCCAACTGTATAATCTCTGCGATCCTGACCTGCCAGTCGACAACCCCCAGCGCAAGTGGCGCAGTGAGAACTTCCTGGCTGGCGTGCGCCCGAAAAGGCGCGAAGGGTACCCCGGCCATTCCCGCCCCCCGCCCCCCGACCCCTCGAGGCGACGGACGAGGCCGCCCAGTGGCTTTGCTTCATCTCGGTGTTGTGGTATTTTCGTCAATTTGCTCGGCTTTGTCGGGCGCCGATGGCCGCGTCGGCGATGTCGCATCCCACACGCTTGACTGTGCTGCTTGCCTGTGGGCGTTGGCGTGGTCCAGGTTGTGTGTTAGATGGCGCCTTATACGTTTCCAATCGCCCCTTTAATCCCCGAGCCCGAGCCCGGCGCGTCTTCCCATGTGCTCGCCGTTTCCAATCGCCCCTTTAATCCCCGAGCCCGAGCCCGGCGCGTCTTCCCATGTGCTCGCCGCTCCTCCTCCTCCTCCTCACTCTCCTCCTTCTCCTCTCCTCCTCCTCCTCCTCCTCTCTCCTCCTCCTCCTCTCCTCCCTCCTCCTCCTCCTCCTTCTCCTACCTCCTCTTTCCTCCTCCTCCTCCTCCTCCTCCTCCTCCTCCTCCTCCTCCTCACTCCCCCTCCCCCTCCTCCTTCTCCTCCTCCTCCTCCTCCTCCTCCTCCTCCTCCTCCTCCTCCTCCGCCTTCTCCTTTTCCTCCCGTGGATGAATCAAAAGGATGGAACCCTTCACTCCCCCCGCAATCCTTGCCCCAGGCATTCGGCAGTACAGGCAGGCGTGCGATGACTCAAAAAGTAGACCTCAGGGGCCTCCGCGAGGCCCCACCCAACTTACCGCCCCCCCTCCTCCCTCTCCTCCCTCTCTTCCTCTCTTCGTCGTCGTCGTCGTCGTCGTCGTCGTCGTCGTCGCCGTCGTCGTCGTCGTCCTCGTCGTCGTCTCCTCCTCCTCCTCCTCCTCCTTCTCCTCCTCCTCCTCCTCCTCCTCCTCCTCCTCCTCCTCCTCCTGGGGATGGCCCAGGGTCCAGGCCGCCCAGATGGGGTCCGAGAAGGTGGGGTCGGGGGATCGCGCCGCATGGCCGATGTCATCGGCGATGCGGCTCGATGTGGAGCTTGATTTTCTCCACGCCGACGTCGCCGACGCATCGCCGACGTCGCGGGTGCATCGCCGATACATCGGCGATGCATCGGGGATGTGGTGCGATCCTCCGCCCCCATATGCTCTGGCGCCACCTGGGGCGCCTCTGGCGGAAGGGGCGGCGGGAGGTTTCTGGGGAGGGGGGGGGAGGTAATGAGGGAGATGGGAGGCGGGAGGGAGAGGAGGAGGAGGAGGAGGATGGAGCGAGGAGGGTGCGGGGAGAGGATGCAGGAGGAGGGGAGGAGGAGGAGGAGGAGGCAGGAGGAGGGGGAGGAGGGAGGAGAGGAGGAGGAGGAGGAGGAGGAGAGAGGAGGGGGAGGGGAGGGGGAGGAGGAGGAGGATGGAGGGGAGGAGGAGGAGGAGGAGGAGGAGGAGGAGGAGGAGGAGGAGGAGGAGGAGGAGAGGCGGAGGAGGAGGAGGATGGAAGGAGGAGGAGGAGAGGAGGAGGAGGAGGAGGAGGAGGAGAGTAGGAGGCTGGAGGAGGAGGGAGGAGGATGAGGAGGAGGAGGAGGCTGGGATGAAGAGGAGGAGGGAGGAGGAGGAGGAGGAGGCGGAGGAGGAGGAGGAGGAGGAGGAAGGAGGAGGAAGGAGGAGGAGGAGAGGAGGAGGAGGAGGAGGACGAGGAGGAAGGGGAGGAGAGGAGGAGGTGGGAGAAGGATAATGATGATGAGGAGGAGGAGGACGAGGAGGAGGAGGAGGAGGAGGGAGGAGGAGGAGGAAGAGGAGGAGGACAGGAGGAGGGGGAAGGAGGAAGGAGAAGGAGGAGGAGGAGGAGAGGAGGAGGAGGAGGTGGAGGAGGTGGAGGAGGCGGAGGAGGCGGAGGAGCCGACGGACGTGTCTAGGACTCGGCGAGAGTGTCCCCAGCCGGGGCGTATCCGTTCCCTGCTCGCGCAGGGTTTTCTTCAGGAGACCCAGGACCGATGGTTGTCGGTGTTCCACGAGGAGCTGGTGGTGATCCCAGAGCACTTCCGCCAATGCTTGGTACCCCTGGACCCCGACGCGCCGCCGCCCACGGGTCGGGACTACATGGCCAGACCTCGCCGTAGGCGGAGGACCAAGGGCCCAGAGTAGGGTGCTCCTGATCGTGATGTCTCACCCTTGGGGACATGCCCTGTGAGGGCCCTGGACGTGTCACCTTGTCGTCTTGGCCGCTGCCGCCTTTCTTTTTTCCGCGTCTGTTGCCGCTGCCGCTTGCTCTCTCGGTTAGGCTACATGTCTGATGCCTCTAGTCTCAGAAATATAGGAGGAGGGAGAGGAGGAGCAGGAGGAGGAGGAAGAGGAGGAGGAGGAGGAGGAGGAAGAGGAGGAGGAGGAGGAGGAGGAGGAGGAGGAGGATGAGGAGGAAGAAGAAGATGATTATGATTGTGATGATGATGATGGAGGAGGAGGAGGAGGAGGAGGAGGAGGAGGAGGAGGACAACGAGAAGGAAAACGAGGAGGAGGCGGCGGAGGAGGTGGCGGAGGAGGACAAGGAGGAGGAGGAGGAGAAGGAGGAAGAAGAGGAGAAGGATGATGATGATGATGCTGATGATGATGATGATGATGATGATGATGCTGATGATGATGATGATGATGATGAAGATGATGCTGATGATGATGATGATGATGAGGAGGAGGAGGAGGAGGAGGAGGAGGAGGAGGAGGAGGAGCCGATGGACGTGTCCAGGACTCGCCTCGGGTCGTCACTCAGACAAGAGCGGTCTTCGAGGCCAGACGGAGTTCAAGGCCTGCCCCCCTCGGGGCCTGTCCCCCCCTCCTGAAGCGGTGAGTCTGAGATGTGGAGTTGCCTTCATCGGTGACTAGGGGGGCGGGAGGGAGGGGAAGTGGGGGCGGTGAAGGAAGTGGCTGGAAAGAGATGGCGGTCCAAGTAGGGGGAGGGTGGAGGGAGGAGTCCAACCCCCTTGCTTCTCCTTCTTCCTCTCCCTCTTCTCCATCATGCGGTCTTCTCATCTCTCTATTCTCCCTCCCCTCTCATCCCTTCACTCTCTCGGTCGTTAAACGTTTCTCCCTGCTGCTCGCAGCCATCATTGTCTACGTCCTTCTGTCCTTATCCCCATTCCCATCCTTTATTCTCCGTCCTCTGTCCTCCATGCTCCATCATATGTGGTGCATCCTTTGTACATAATGCATGCTACTCCTTACGTCTTACATGCACTCTACATTCTACAAACTACAGCTCACACCGTACATCATGCTTACCGGTCCTCTGACTATAGAGCCTACATCCTCCATCATCATCATCATCATCCTAGGTCTCGTGCCCATATCATTCCTGCCCTCGTCCTCATTGCAGTGCCCATCGTGATTCTGGGCCTCGTTCCCATCCCTATCGTCATCCACATCCACATCCTTATCTTCATCCTCAGCCTCATCACCACCTTTACTCTTGATCACCATTCGGCTGTTGGATCCCACCCCCGGCTGCCATCACACCTACAGCACGTCTGGAGTTATTCTGATTTCATGCGTGATGCAATTCGCGTCTTTATGATGGCTGCCGAAGAGAAGCAGCAGGGAGGGATTCAGAGTTCTCCATGCGAGGCAAGCGCTCCGAATCACAGAGGCGTCAAGCATTACTCGCATCCGTGGCTGGATTACAGAATCGTGCGCTCGAGATGATCCTTCTTTGCACCTGGACGCAACCCTCACCTGGAGTGGCCTCGTCCGTCAGTCCAGCGTGGAGGGCGGTGAGGAGGAGTATGAGAAGGAGGAAGAGGAGGAGGAGGAGGAGGAGGAGGAGGAGGAGGAGGAGGAGGAGGAGGAGGAGGATGAGGAGGAGGAGGAGGAGAAGGAGGAGGAGGAGGAGGAAGTGCCAAGATCCTGAGGCCGCGCGGCCACCCGCTGCCCCGAAGTGATCCCCCTCCGTGCGGCGGCCTCCGCCACGAAGAAGCGAACGACGAAAAAGAAGCCACAGCATACTCAGGAGGAAAAGAAACACACAGACACAATGAATCGTCGACTCCCAGGAAAATATGCAAAAATATGGGACGTGGGGGGGAAGACAAAAACCCAAAATACATAGGAAAATATGGGGAATCCTTTTATTTGTGTGTATTTATTTGTGTGTCCTGGGGCCCCTTCACATACACATAACCGTTCGGAGGTCTGCGCGGTTTCTCGGATCGGCGCTGGACCTCCCTGGCGGCGCCTCTGGCGCAGCCCCTGGGCCCCGTGATCGGCGCACGCGCCCATTTCGGCCACGCGACGTCCGACTAACTTGTTGGCTCCATCGAGGCCTTGAAGGGGTCCGGCGTGTTCCTGGTCGTCGTCCTGCATTCGCTCCTGCTCGTGCTGGGCTCAATTTTTTCTTCCCCCCCTCCTCCTCCTTCTGCTCCTCCTCCGCCGCCTCCTCCTCCTCCTCCCTCCTCCTCCTCCGCCTCCTCCTCCTCGTCCTCCTCTTCTTCCGCCTCAATTTTTTTCTTGCCCCCCCTCCTCCTCCTCCTTCTGCTCCTCCTCCTTCCGCTCCTCCACCGCCGCCTCTCCTCCTCCTCATTCCTCCTCATCTCCCTCCTCCTCTCCCTCTCCTCCTCCTCCTCCTCCTCCTCCTCCTCCTCCTCCTCCTCCTCCTCCTCAATCTCCTCTTCTGCCTCCTCCAATCCTCTTCCTGCTTCTCCTCCTCATTTTTTTCATCCTGCCGCCTCGCCCCCGGACCTCCCCCGAGGCCTATGGATATCGTTTGGCCTTTCGTGGGGCTTCCGGAGACACGCTCGCCCTCCCGCTCCACCCGTTGGTGCTGCTGCCGCTCCTCCTCATCCTGCTCTTCATTCTCCCTCCCCCCTTCCCACGGGGCCCATTCTCGGTATCGTTTAACCGATCCCCATCCCCATCCCCATCCCCTTCGAGACCCCCACCAAAATTTACCACCCCAGTTGGGGACACACCCCTCGAAACCCGAAGGGAACGACCTATATCGCCTATCTGGGGGGGCAAATCGGCCAGCGGGGCCCAGGCCACGCCGCTGGGGATGGGAATCGGAACTGGAATGCGGCAACAGTCGCGCGCAGCGATGATTTTTCGTTAGCTCGGGCAGCACTTTGGGTGACACTGCCAGTACCCGCGCTTCCTTAGCGGGTTCGAGCCTCACGCCGATGGATGAACGCATGTGCTCATCTGGCTCTGGTGCCGAGACAGATACAACAGATACAAGTCCACCTTCCAACCCCAACCAACCTACTGGGAATCGCCTCACGCCGCTGGGGATGGGAATCGGTTCAACTTCACTCCCTCGTCCCACGGGGCCCATTCCTGGCCGCCACGCCCCCAAAGGAGGGCGCAGAGGCTGCGGGCTCTGGCGGAGCTCGGCGCGACCCAGCTGGTCGAACGTCTGCCTGGAGCCGTCTGGCGCCCCGGGCTGCGTGCCCTGTGTCGTGCAGGAGCATCCAGGATCATGGTGCCCCTTCGCGTGCCCTCCTTGTGTCATCCCCTTCCTGCCTCTGTTTTTGTTCCTCCTGATTCCCGAGTCCCGATTCCTGATGGCGTGCGGAGTCCTCGACAGCCGCCCTGCCCCCCTACGGCCGGTCGGCCCTGGAATGGGTGGCCAAACTAGAGCCAGGCGACCCCTGGAGCTCCTCCTCCTCCTCCTCCTCCTCCTCCTCCTCCCTCCTCCTCCTCCTCCTCCTCTTCCTCCTCCTCCTCCTCCTCCTTCCTCTTCTTCCTCCTCCGTACTCTCCTCCCACTCCTCATCATCCCTTCGTCATCCCTTCTTCGTCATCCCTTCCTCGTCCCCTCTCCCTCCTCACTTGTCCCTCTGCCAGGGCCCGTCGTGGCCCGACCCGCTCCCCGCCTCCCCATTTGCGCCGCCCGTGGAGCTCGCCTGGGCCCTCGGCGGATCGGTGGCTTTGCCGGCCTCTGCGCGGGAGGGGGAGAGAGTCGGCGCTCAAGAGATGGGGGTCAGCCAGAGCGCCAGATCTTGCAGGATCCGGCGGGAGTCTGCAGGACCTTGTAGGATCCTGCGAGGCCCGACTGACCCGTGCTTCGATTGACCCGGATTAGTAGATCCCTGAGAGAGAGAGAGAGAGAGAGAGAGAGAGAGAGAGAGAGAGAGAGAGAAAGAAAGAGAGAGAGAGAGAGAGAGCGAGAGAGAGAGAGAGAGCGAGAGAGAGCGAGAGAGAGAGAAGAGAGAGAGAGAGAGAGAAGAGAGAGCAGAGGAAGGTCGGCGTCCCTCGGCGCGGAGGCCCCCCCTTGAATCCCAGCGGCACTCGTCCCTCTGCCAGGGGCTGTCGTGGTCCGACCCGCTCCCGCCTCCCAGCGCGCGCGCGGGCGCGCACAAAAGTGCCGTGGCGCGGGCGCCGGCCGGCCGTTACGGGCGCGCGTCAGGGCTCGCCTGGGCCCTCGGCGGATCGGTGGCTTCGCCGGCCTCGGCGCGAGGGAGAGGGCGAGGTCGCAGGCGATCTGTCTCCCCCAGCCCCCAGCCTTTCCACGAAACCCCAGGGTACACCCCAGTGGGGGGGCTATTCGGAGGCACTCCTGTCGAGAATGGACGACCCCCCATCGTATATCCCAGGGTTGGGACCAATTTTTTTTATCCAGTCGAAAGCCCCACGAAGCCTGAGATAGGGGTCGACATAACGGCTGTCAAGAAAGAGAGAGAGAGAGAGAGAGAGAGAAAACGAGAGAGAGCGAGAGAGAGCGAGAGAGAGAGAGAGAGAGAGAGCGAGAGAGAGAGAGAGAAATAGCAGAGGAAGGTCGGCGTCCCTCGGCGCGGAGGCCCTTTTTGAAGCCCAGCGGCAGCGCGACGCGGCCGAAGCTCGAGCCGACGCCGAGTCGGGCCTCGCAGCCGAGAGGCGGCTCGCCGCCTGGTGCCGCTGCCGCTGCCGCCGCCCGGGCGTCCTCCCGGGGGCCTTCCTGTCGGAGCGGGGGTTCGACGCGGCCACCGCGTGCTCTGCTTGGCCGTGGGGGGTCCAGGAGCTCGGCGTACGTGCAGATGCCCCGGCATCCCTCGGCGATGGTCAGACTCTTCCGCGCCCGTACCTCGGGTCAGAACTGGGCACGTCCCTCCACAGGAGGAGTATCCACACACAGTTAAAAGTAGTCAGGGGACGACTTTTTCTTTTAATATGTAAGAACTATGTTTTAATATTTTTGTTGCATGATTTTGTTTTTGCTTCGTCCAAGCTCCGCCTGCAGGGGGACATGCCTGGCCCATACCTCGGGCGCCGTACGGAAGAAGCCACGGCGCCGAAGGTCTGGGAGACGGCGGGCCCCCGGGCCTCTCGATGCCCCCCCTTCGGGAAGACGGTCATCGAGTTGTGAGGATGGGGTTTTGGGAGAGGAGGAGGAGGAGGAGGAGGGGGAGGAGGAGGAGGAGGGGGAGGAGGAGGACGATGAGGAGGAGGAGGAGGAGGAGGAGGGGGAGGAGGAGGAGGAGGAGGAGGAGGATGGGGTTTTGGGAGAATCAGAGCGTGAATTACCTACCCCGCTTTCGCTTCCAGGCAAAACCAAGCCATACCACGCGCCTCCTCGTCAAGCGGCCTGACCAGTACAGGCTGCAATCTGGCATCGTTTGGTATCTCTTGGAAGCGAGGGTGGTCAAAAGCGAGGTAGGTTTGTTGTCCCCCTAAGAGAAAGGATCAAATCATCAATCTGACCGCTTATGTTTGAAGGTTCCTATTGCGCAGTCGTGCTCTGTATCCTCCCAGCCCCCTCCTCCCAGCACGACCTCCTCGCCCTTCCCCAGGGCCCGGCCCCTCATCCCGAGTCTTCGATGTGCCGGCCCCAGGCCTCGGAAACCGGTGACTGGAGTCAGCGACTGCATAGCGGGTGTGGGTTACGCAGGGGTGTGGTTTGCGATCGGTGCTGATGGGGTCTCCTTGGCGTTGCCCTGTTGCTCCTCCTCCTGTCCTCCTCCTCCTCCTCCTCCTCCTCTCCTCCTCCTCCTCCCTCCTCCTCCTCCTCCTCCTCCTTCCTCCTCCTCCTCCTCCTCCTCCTCCCCTCCTCCTCCTCCTCCTCCTCTCCTCCTCCTCCTCCCTCCTCCTCCTCCTCCTCCTCCTCGCCTCCTCCTCCCCTCCTCCCCCTCCTCTCCTCCTCCTCCTCCTCCTCCTCCTCCTCCTCCTCCTCCTCCTCCTCCTCCTCCTCCTCCTCCTCCTCCTCCTCCCCCTCCTTCTCCTCCTCCTCCCCCTCCTTCTCCTCCTCCTTTCCAGTCGGAAGCGAGCGGAGCCAGGACTCAGAGCGCTTCCCCCGTTTCCCCTTTTGTGGGCCTCCTGGGAGGCCCTCGTCGGCACCTCTGGATTCGCCTTGGAATTCTGGTCAGAACGCATCCCCGGAGAGGGCCAGGGAGTAGCGGTATCCAGTATCCGTACCTTTTGGTTTCCTCAGGGGCGGATCACAGGCGCAGGACGCGAGCTCGATCGAGGAAGGAGCGGCTGCCTGCACGAGTGCCCGGCGGCTGGCTGGAAGAACCTGCAAGTCCTTACGGCCAGTGCCGCCGACCCTGAAGGGGGACGACGACGACGACGACGACGACGGCGGCGGCGGCGGCGACGACGACGACGACGACGACGCTGACGCTCTGGAGCCACAGAGGAAGGAGCGGCTGCCTGCACGTGTGCCCGGCGGTTGGCCGCAAGAACCTGATGTGTATGTTGTGTGCCGTTGCTGTGATCGGTGGCGTTGGTGCGCGAGTGTCCCCGGGAACAGGTAAGCGTACACGGCCCAGGCGGAACGAGAACTTCCAGACTCTGGACATTTCCTACAGGGTTCCCTCTGCGACCTTGCAGACGTGAGTCTGATTGTGATGCAGGGTGCTGCAGACTTTCGCTGAGCAAGGATGTTGCGAGCCAAAGGGGGCCATCGATGCCAGCGCGCGTTCCCCCTTCAGAGCATCGGGTCAGGCACAAACCCGCCGACCACTTGGGGTCTCTGGGCGTGCGAATGTTTTTTGGCCCCAGAACGACTTGACAGCACGTGCTCTGGACGTGCATCCCGCGAAGCGAGGTCAATCATTCCCGTCTCCTGGTCAGGTCGAAGATGGAATTTCGGCCTGAATGAGTCTGCTCTGAGGGCGCCACCACGTACGTCCTCGCTCTATCAGGAAGCCGTACGAGTTTCAGTTATACCGCGGGGTAGCTGCTTGGGCGTCGCGTAATGGGTCATTGCGCCAACCTCGCAGAGCGGACTTCGTTCGTAACAAAATGAGACGGGCCCGGATTGTCCTGGAGAATTTCGCTCCAGATTTTGATGTTTTTGGAGGCCAGGAATGACGACTACAACACATCCGCGTGAAATTCACGTCGTTTTTCGCTTGCTGTTTCGGGGTTTTGCATTGACAGGAATCCACGCAAAAATCCGCTGCAGCACGTGTGCAAGGTCGGTGCAACGGAATGGTGGGACGATACATGGGGGGCTGCGAATGCGGCAGAAAAAGGGCATTGAGGGCCCCCCAAAGGGGGCCTGTCGGGCCCCCCAATGGGCCTTCAGGGCCCGAGATGTGTTATTCTCCTCACCCATTCATCGCCCCCCCAGTGAGCGACGCCCAAGCTGCAGATCCAGGCCAAATTTCGTCTTATGCGCCGCAGGTCAGTGCGCCCCCGCGGATCCTGCACCCTTGAGCCCTCTTCAGGGTGCCAGGGAAGTTCGGCGGCGCGCATTATCAGGTCAGTTGTCTCTCCTCGAGTTTGCAGTCGCAGGGGGGTCGTTTGGGGGCCGCTTCTCCCTCCCCCCTCTCTTCCTCTCTCCACCTCCTCCTCCTCCTCCTCCTCCTCCTCCTCCTCCTCTGCCTCGGCCTCCTCCTGCTCCTCCTTCACCTTTCTTCCTCCTCTCCCCTCATCCTCCTTCTCTGTCCTGTTGCAGCAGGACGTGGATGTTTCTCCCTCAGCTCGACGGTGAATTGCTTCCCGCCGACTGCCACATGTGCGTCCTCGGCTCAGATTCACGACAGCTTCCTCTCTGGAACCCCAGATACGGAAGTTTCATCTTGGGGTCTTGTTGAGCAAATCCTCCTCACCAGATATAGACGAGTAGTGCGGGCACGATAGGAAGGAGAGGGGCGAAAACACTGGACAAGCAGGGACGCTGGTTAGGACACCTCCCTCCTCCTTCTCCTCCACCGTTAGGACACCTCCCTCCTCCTTCTCCTCCACCGCCTCCTCCCTCCTCCCTCCTCCCTCCTCCCTCCTCCCTCCTCCCTCGTCCTCCTCCTCCTCCTCCTCTTCCCCTGGGGGTTGGGAGGCTGGCTGACCACATCGGAGCTGTTTCGCGTGCGCAGCAGGCGTTTGCTTGGCCAGCAGCTCGCTCGGGGAGGCCGCCAGCAGAGGTGGCGTGGAGAGGAGCGGCGGCGCCGCGCCCGCCGCTCCACTGCAGCTGTGGGCGCGCCTTCCGCTTCTCCTCGTCCCGGCTTGGAGCGACCGATCTGCATGGCAGCTGTCTTTCGGTACGATCGAAGAGGGTACGGAAAGAGTGGGCACGGAGACCGACCGCACTTCCATGTTCATTTTGAACAGGGCTCGTTGTTCGTGCCACAGCGGGCACAGTTCGTTCGAGGCAGAAGGCCGTCTGCCCAACAGCGGCCGCTGTCGGTTTTAGACAACATTTGTTGTTGAGCATCGCGCCCACGTTTTCCGTACCCATTCCTGGCGCCCACAGTTTTTGGCAACCACCCTGCCTATTCTCCTTTCCTGCCTTCCTTTCTTTCTCTCCTGCTCCTAGTCCTCCTCCCTCCGTGGCTGGTGCTTCGAGGGGTGGGGCCCCCTTTCCCTCAGTGAGGGAGCTGGCAATTTCCATCATCAGCGCATTGGTTCAATAGAAAATGGAAGCTTCTCCTTGTCCCGACGGGTCGCTGCCCCGAGCACAACCGATGGTGAGCGCCTGACCACTTCTCGATTTTGTTAGGTGGAGGGCCGCATGATATTCAGGGGCAACGTTCGGGGGTAGAAGAGTCTCGGAGGGAGCGCGTTTCACGGGCGCTTGCCTTGGGAACATTCGGCGGCGCGTTGCGAACCAGGGGGTGGCCCCCCCAACATTCGGTGCCGTCGATCAGAACCAGGGGGACTCCCCTCCCTCCTAAACCCCCCGCCCTCCCTTCCGAACCCCCCCACCGGCGCCGGCGCCGGCGCCGGCGCTGGCGGCCGCCAGCAGCGCCGACGGCGGGGACGACGCGACGATGACCAGAGGCAGCCCAAGGGGGGCGGGCTCCAACCCCCCCCCCCGCGCCGGCGCCGGCGCTGGCGCTAGCGGCGGCCAGCACCGCCGACGGCGGGGACGCAGCGACGATTACCACCATTACCACCACCACCACCACCATCACCACCACCACCAGCTCCACCCATCACCACCACCACCACCAACCCACCACACAACCACCACCACCACCACCATCACCGCCACCACAACCAGCACCGCCTCCACAAACCACCGCCACCACAACCCACCACCACCACCACCACCACAAACCACCACCGCACCACCACCAAACCACCACCACCACAACCCACCACCACCACAACCACACCACCACGAACCACCACCACACCACCAAACCACCACCACCACCAACCACAACCACCACCACCACAACAAACCACCACACCACCGCCACAACCACCACCACCGCCACCACCACCACCACAAAATCCACCACCACCACCACCACAAACCGCCACTACCACCACCACCACCACCACAACCACCACCACCACCACAACCGCAACAAACCACCACCACCGCCGCCACAACCACCACCGCCACCACTACCACCACAACCCACCACCACCGCAACCACTACCACCACCACAATGACCACGACAAACCACGACACTACCACCGCCACCGCCACCACCACCTTAACCCACCACCGCCACAACTACCACTACCGCCACCACCACGAACCACCGCACCACCACCACAATTACCGCCACCACTACCACCACCACAACCTGCCACCACAACCACCACAACAACCACCACCGCCACCACCAACCACACCACCACCACCACCGCCACAACCACCACCGCCACCACCATCACCACCACCACAGCTCACCACCACCACCACAGCTCACCACCACCACCACCACCAACAACACCACCACCTCAGAGAGGCCCCAAGAGACGCCCAAGAGGCGCCCAGGAGGCTGCACAAATGCTCCTCAGAGGCCCCCGAGAGCCTCCGACGAGACCCCAAGGGACATTTAAAACCAAAAGCACGGTGGCGGAACGTCGTCGTCGTCGTCGTCGTCATCGTCGTCGTCATTGTCCTCGTCGACGCTCCCTGGCGCCGCCGCCCGCCGCCGCAGGCGCTGGCGCCGGCTCAGAAAAAGAAGTCGTCGTCCCCGCCGCCGCCGCCAGCCGCCGCCGACGCAGGCGCCGGCCCGAGGAGAGGGAGAGAGGAGAGGTAGGGGAGGAAGGGGAGGGGGGGGGGGGGTGGGGGTTCAAGCCCCCTCTCCGTCACGGGAGGGGGGGGTTCGAACCCCCCCCCACCGTCCATCCAGGGGGGGGGTCCGGTTCCAAACCTCCCCCCTTCCGAGCGACCACAGAACGCGCTTTTTCGAGTCTCGGAAAGTCAGCAGTTTTTCCATGACGTTTTCACGGCCCGGAGTGGTTTCCACCAGCTGCGCCTCGTCGGAGGCGTTCTTGGGTTGCCAGAATCGTCCCGAATGGCCGCAGTCGAGAGCCGAGCTATGACCTGAAAACCAAAAGGGAACGTCAGAGAGGGTCGGTTCAAAGGCGCGCGCAGCGACCCCCACTCGCCCATGTGATCCCCGACAAAAGGCCTGATAGCCCGCCCATGCACAGGCACGTGCTGTTTCGCCGTCGGGGGCCTGTCGCTGATCTATCTGCGATGTATCGACGATTCCAGGTCGATGTCCCCCACCCAGAGCCAGTCACCCTTATCGTCGCCCCTCATTTCCCCATCGTGCCAGTTCGCAGCCAATCTTTATTCCGACGATTAGCATCACCGCATCTCCATGCCGGTTTTAAGGAGTTCGCCAATTCCTAACGGAGCATCCCTAAGATTGTCATCGCTTGTGGGCTTGCCAATTGTATGGGTATAGATAATTCGGCGGCGCGCTCAAGGGGGTGGCCCGAGAGGGGGTAACATTGTAAGGAAAACAGCTTGGTTCTTTGAAGCCAGGGGCCTCCTTAGAGGGGGGGCTTCTAAGAAGGCTCCTTGAAATCCGGGGGGCCTCCTGAGACGGCACCTGCATTTTCAGAACGCCGCCACCTTCGCGCTACACCCTTCTGCGCGCCGCTAAATAGGGTCGAGGCCGATTGCCATCGTTTTGTAAGAGGGGGAGGCATGAGAAGCACCGCGCCCCCCAGGCACGAGGCGGAGTCCCGTGCGGCGACCCTCGAGGCGATGCTGCATGCCAACAGCGAGCGTACTGTGAGCCTGTCGGAGCAAGTGGCCGCGTTGCAGGACCTCCAACGTGGATGGGCACATGGATGGGCACCCACACATACATACATACATATGTGTGTATGCATGTATGTATGTTTGCATGCATGCATGTATGTACGTGAATATGTATGCATGTACATATGTAAGTACGCAGACAGGTGTGTGTACAAATGTGTTTATGTGCATATGTATGCATTTGTGCATGTGTGTATGTATATAGGTATGTATGTGTGTATGTGTGTCTGTGTCTGTCTATCTGCTCGTCTGTCTGTCTGTCTGTCTGTCTGTCTGTATGTGGGTAGATCGGCGGGTCTGTCGGTAGGTAGGTCGGTAGGTCGGTCTGTATGTATGTTTGTTCCGCATGGATCTGTTTATGTATGTATACACGTATGTATGTATGTATGTATGTATGCATGTATGCTTGTAAGTTTGCATTGGTGAATGATTGCATGCACGCGTACATGCATGTACGTATTTCTGTGTGTATGTATGTATGCATACATGCAGGTCTGTCTGTATACCTGTATATGTGCATGCATGTGTGTATGTATGCAGGTATGCATGTATGCATGCACGTACGTTTGTATGTATGTATATATGTCTGCCTGTATGTAGGTATGTGTATCTGTGTATGTAAGCATGCACGCTAATATGTATGTATGTATGCATGTATGTATGCAGGTATGTATGTGTGCATGCATGTATGTATGTAGGAATGCATGTATATATGTATGCGTGTATGCATGTATGGATGTAGGCATGCATACATGTATGTATGTGTATGTCTGCATGTTTGTATGTATGCATCCATGCACGTGTGTCGGTATACGTGTATGTATGTACGTATGGATGGAGTGATGGATAGATGTATGCATGTATGTGTGTATCTTGGTAGGTAAGACTGTATGCATGTATGTGTCTATATGCAGGTTTGTATGTATGGAGTCATACCTTCACGCATACATGCATGTATGTATGTGTTTCCGCCTGCGTGTTTTCCTGTCTGTCAGCCTGACTGCCTGTCTGTCTGTCGGCCTGCCTGTGTGTCTGTCTGTCTGTCAGTCTGCCTGTCTGTCTGTGTATGTATGTATGGATGGATGGATGGATGTATGTGTGTATGTGTGTATGTCTGTCTGTCTGTCTGTCTGTCTGTCTGTCTGTCTGTCTGTCTGCATGCATGCATGTACTTGTATGTATACATGTATACACATATGGATATGAAGGGGGTCTCAGGGGCCCTGGAGAGACGGATTTTGTTTCCGGCCGTTTTGGACCCGTCGGGGAGCGCGTCAAAGTAGGGGAAGAGGGGCGACGAGATGGCCTTAGAGACGTCCAAGATGTCTCCAAGATGGCCCGGAAGCTCCAAGAGAGCCCAAGACCGCTCAAGCGCGTTCCAAGATGGGCCAACATGGCTTCAGGACAGCCCAGGACGTCCTCAAGACGGCCAAGAGGCCCTCAAAAGGAGTGCCACGAGGCCCTCAGGAGGCGGAACATCGTTTATTGTCTAAGGCTTTTGAAGATTTTCGGTGTTCTGGCTTGTTCATGCTTCCGACGGGCCAAGGCAGCCCACAGGCAGCGGCTCCCACAGAGGGCCCCAGGATGGCCCAAGAGAGTCCCAAGACGGCCCTAGGGCGCCCAAAGAAGGCCCAAAGACGACCCCAAGAATGCCCCAAAGGTCCCAAATGGCCCTAAGCGAGCTCCAAGAGGGCATTCAGGGCCGCCCAAGAAGGCCCCATAAGGCCACAAGACACCCAAAGACCTTCAAGACGGCCCAAAAAGGTCCCAGGACGGACCGAGAGGGCCTGAAGTGGCCCTGAAGGGCCCCAAGAGGACACCGAAGAAGGCCTGGATACGCTAAACGCATATTGCGAAGGCCTTTCGGCCGGTGCCGCCGACCCTGAATGGCGACGACGACGACGACGACGAGCGCTCTTGGGGGCCTCTTGGGGGTAGTTTGTGGGCCTCTTGGGGAGCTCTTAGGGGCCGCTTGGAAGCCTCGTGGGGGCCTCTTGGGGCTTCCTGGGGGTCTCTTGGAGGGGGCCTGGGACGTCTTGGAGGCTTCTTGGACGGTCTTGGGGCTATCTTGGGCGTTTTCGGCCGATCTTTGGGCGACTCGGGGCCCTCTTGGGCCGTCTCGGGGGCCATCTTGGGCATTCGGACCTTATTTGGAGTGTTTTCGAGGTTTCTAGGCCGCCCGAGGAAAAACGAATCTGCCCCCCCACCCCCCCCGGGACCCTCCCCGGGACCCTCCCCGGGACACCCCCCGGGACCCCCCCCGGGACCCCCCCCCCCCTGGGGAAGGGATCAAAGGGAAGGGGCTTCCCTTCGACTCGATTACGACACTGCTAGATTTTTCTCTCGCTCACGAGCTTGAGAAGGAAGCTGCAGGGAAAGGGGACGACGGAGGCGACGACCGACGGAGACGACGACTCGAACAGCCAAGCCCCTCGCACACGCCGACAGGGTCGGCGGATTTGTTCGCCTGGTTCTTGTTTTATTTCACCGCGTAGCGAGTTCGGATCCTAAGTGCGGACGGTGGTGTGAGCTCACGACGGCCCAAAGTCATTCCCGAGACGTCGAAAAGACGGCTTCAAGGTGGCCCAACTGCTGCTCCACTTACCATTGATGCTTCTGCCTCCTCATCTCTCTCCCCGTCCTCGTCCTGCACCTCCTCGTCCTGCCGAAATGGGGCGGCGGTGCCATGCGAACCCTCCCACTGGGGCCTTCATTGGAGATCCCTATGGGGCCACGAAGCGTGCGTGGGGTGTGCCGAAATGGGGCGGCGGTGCCATGCGAATCCTCCCACTGGGACCTTCGGTGGAGCTACCTATGAGGCCACGAAGCGTGTGAGGGGTGTGTCGAAATGGGGCGGCGGTGTCATGCGAACCCTCCCACTGGGGCCTTCGGTGGAGCTCCCTATGGGGCCACGAAACGTGTGAGGGGTGTGCCGACATGGTTGACTGGTGCGGAGGGCAGAGGCAGGGAGGAAAGGCGGGAGGAGGGGGAAGAGGAGGAGGAGAAGAGGAAGGAAGGCGGGGCGGTGTCTTTTCAAATTGAGGACCCAACACCACATGATGGTTGGGAAAACGTGACGTCGGCGGCCGGGACCTCGGAGGTTCGTGGGCCGATCGGTTCGATAATGCTGCGATGCTTGCTTCCATCCACGCAGGACGCCTTGCAGTGGGGCATCGCGCTCCCATTCCGTGGAGTACCCGCGGGGCCAGAGGATGAGCAAGTTCGCAAATCGAGTAGAAGGAAGAGGAGGAGGGAGGAGGGAGGAGAAGCCGCCAAGTATGTCTTGGAGAGCGCAAGGGCGGCTTGAGGGACTCCAGGGCGGTTATGTTGGGAGGCCCGGAGAGCTTCGGAAAAAACAGTTCGGGCATCAGCTTTTAACGCGTGCTATTTCGATGCCGATCCGGCACCCGCCTTCGACGCGGGAGTTCGCGGACCGGGAGCAGCCGTAAACGTATCACGGGCGCGCTGCCATACAGCTGGCTGCGCGCATATCGCAGCAACTTGATCAAGGGCGCTTACGGTCGGACCGAGGCATAAGATCGAGGTCGGCTCGGGAAGGTACCCTCATGCCCTTCGTGTTTGTGGGATGTTTTCGTGCATCCTGGGCCAGGGCACTCTCGAATGTCTCGCCGTTTGGCTGGCGGAGAGTCCCGTGTTCTTGAAGGACGTTCTTTTGGGATAGGCCCGGCCGCATAGGAGAAGTCTCAGTACGTCATGCCTTTCCTCCCGGCGGCGGAGCCGCTTGCCCACGCCTGCTGCTCGGCGAGCGAGGCGGTCGGGCAGCCCTGCTCTACGATGTCTGGCTGCGCCACTTGCAGGGCCTGGGCCCCGACCCCCCTCTTGCCAGCCTCCTCCCTAGGATTGGACTCCTGCACTCTTCCCTCTTTTGTTCCAGGCAAAGCATGGAGGCGAGACGCCGGCCTCCTCCTCCTCCTCCTCCTCCTCCTCCTCCTCCTCCTCCTCCTCCTCCTCCCTCTGTTCCACGTCCTGGAGGAGCGCCCCCCCCCAAATGGTGAAGGGTTGCGGGTCCCCGCGGAAGTTGGGGTCTGCATCCTGCTTTATCTCCCTTCCCTTCCATCCCTTCGCTCTCTGTCTCTCTCTCTCTCTCTATCTCTCTCTCACTTCTCCCTCCTCGCTGTCTTCCCCCGCCGCCTGTCCCCTTCCCCCTCCCCTCTACTTCCCCCTCTGTCCCACTACAGTCGAAGCCGATCGTAAGGATGGGTAAACTGCCCAAGGGTACCCTTGCATCCTTGCCTCCTCGGTCCGTCCTTACACCCTTTCGACGGGCAGCCCCTCTCGCAAAGCTTCGACATGCGCGTCCAAGGGGCTTGCATCCTTGCCGCGCATCCTTACTTTCAGTTTCGTCCGTATCTCTTCCTACTCTTTCTCTCCCTCTCCCTCTCCCTCTCCTCCCCCTCTTCCTCTTCTCCTCCCTCGCTTCTCCCAGCTCGCGCCCCCCTTCCCCGAAGGACGCCCTGGCGGCTGCTCGCG